GGCTGGAGTGCCTGGAGAGCTCTGGGGTTGAGGCATTAGCGGGGAGTGGGAGCCAGCTGCTGCAGGGTGGAGTGGGCTTAGCTCCATGGGTGGATTGCAGAAGGGGTGGGGCCTTGGCTAGAAGGGGAGGAACTTTGGCTAGAAGGAGTGGGCTGGGGGCTTGCTTTCCCCAGCAGGGGTCCACCCACTGACTGTGATCTGCTTGTTGACTGTACTTAGTAGGCAATCCAGGCAGAGAAGATCTGAGGATTGTAAGCCCAGCAATGATGCTAGAAACCTCACTGGGACAGAGGAGAAAGAGGTCTTTAACTGTGCATCCTTACACTGGTCATCCAAGCTAAGTCAGAATGGGACAGAGTGCTCATTGCACCCTGTTTAAAGGGTGTAGTATATAGCACTGCTGAATTCTGCAGCATGCTGGCAGAGGTGATGTGTGGGGGCATAAAGGGTCATGTGTCCCCATATGTCGTGGGACCAGCAGCTGGTGAGGGAACTAATGGAGGGTGTCTAGTGGCCACAATAGGATTCCAGCTCCCCCCACACTCATTGGCAGCAGTGGCCATGTCACTTGGGGGAGGAGGTGGGACCGTCCTGCACTCACCTGCGGGAAGCAGAGCGATGTGGCCAGAGGAGTGCTGTGAACTGGGGCCATTGCTTCACTTCCCCTGCCATTGCTGGTGAGTGCCGAGGAGGGGAAGGAGAGGACGGAACACTGCTGTCAGCCCCCATTGCTCAGGGAGGGGGGGAAGGTGAGGTAGGGTAGAGCAAAGGTGGAACAGGAGTGCAGAGGGTGGAGCAAAGGTGGAGAGGGTCAGAGCAAGGGCAGAGAGAGAGTGGGGTCTAGGGTGGAGGGGGGTTGTCCTGGGGTGAGGAGGCTCCCCTTTCCCACTTCACCAGTCTCCTCTGCACGCCTGAGGACCTTCAGTGAAATCTTGGCCCATTGAAGTCAATGGGAGTTTTTCCACTGACTTCACTGGAGCCTGGATTTCACTCTTTGTGCCTGCCTCAATGTCTCTGAGGCTCTCAAAAAAATGTCCCTTCCCACCTGTCTCTCAACAATTGTGGGAACTGGTTAAAACTGCAACCTAGTTCTTTGAGGTATGGGACATATTACTATCCCTGTTTCACAGACTAGGAAACTCAGGTGGAAGAAAGGTTAAGTGACTTGCCAATATCACAAAGTGATTCAATGTCAGAGTTAAAAAAAAGAGTAAAAAAACCTAGTTTTTCATTTCCTTACTCTACCCATTAGAATTTTTCTCCCAATAAATGTAGCCATTCGAAATATATAAAATATTATATATTATAAGAAACATTTAGATCTGAAGAAAGACGGGAAAAAATAAATTATACTAAATCACATTTTGAATATATTCCCCATAACATTCTAAAAAAACCCAAAGAATGACAATGTAAATTCTTGTATGATGGAAAATAAGATGCACAGTCTTCAATCTGAAAAATTTTCTAGCACTATAATATGATATTCTAGACAATATAATAGTTACAGTTTTAAAAACTTAATTATTATAACTGTTACATTTAAAAATAAGATTGAACTGATCTGCTTAATCCCGTCTGTCAATTCCCTATTCACACAGAAATTGCCAACATTTCAAACAGAAAACTCCTTTTTATGCCAAAAAAATAAATTTGCAATAAAACATGTTACATACATACATTTAATAATTTACTCTAAATTGGCCTTAAATTAAACCCACAGCTATGGGCTCAAGAAATTCTGTCATTTAAGGTTAAATAAGCATTTTGCACTTTTTCATTGGTATTTTCCCTATTCCCAAAGATACAAAACCTGTGTCTTAAATTAAATTGTAAATAGATTATAACCATTAACACAGCCCATTCAGGCTAGTTTAAATGGGACTTTTAAGCTTCATTTCATAGACTGTCCTCAAATGCAAAATATTGTCCAGTGTTAGTGACACCTCTTGACATTATTTAACGTCCTAGGATGTGAGTGAAGCTTCAAAAACTATATTTATTGAGTGAATCCCATCATGAACAATCCAATTACATTGTTTCCTCACCATTGTTTCACCACAGCTATTATTATTGCCATGATTTGCTGATGTCATCCATAGTCCTGTACTGAAACAATATTGGATTACCTGTTGAATCAAGTCAATCCTAACTTTCTGATTCAGCTCAGGTTTAGTCTATAAACCATCCGAGCAACATTCACCCACCTCACTTTCACTGTAGCAGTGTCTAACCTTACTCGGTCTTTCACCAACGGATTCTAACTTCACATTTTATCTTCAATTTGCCTTCCTGGTTTCCTGCAGTCGCTAGACTCCCCCTCAATCTCTTTCTCACTGTGTAAGGGTACGACTACACAGCAACGCTATTTCGAAATAACTAGTACTATTTCAAAATAACTTAGTCTGTGTCTACACAGCAGGCAGTTATTTTGAAATAGTGTCAAAATACTGTCGAGCTGGAGGACTTCTTACTCCAATTCCTTAACCCTCATTGTACAAGGAATAAGGGAAGTCAGAAGAAGAGTGCTTTATTTCGATATAAAAGGAAAAACTATGTAGCACTTTGAAGACTAACAAGATGGTTTAATAGGTGATGAGCTTTCGTGGGCCAGACCCACTTCCTCAGATCATATTCTGGAAGAGAATTAGCATGACCAGGGCTCGACAAACCGTGGCAAATCCACTCGCCAGCCCCGCACTGTGCATGTGCCAGACCCGCACTGCACTTGCACGTGCTGCCGATGAACAGGGCGACTGGCTGAAATCTACTCGCCACAGGCGAGTAGATACACAGATTCATTGAGCACTGGGCATGACCATATATACCAAAAGAATACAATGAAAAAAGTGAACACATTATTAAACTGACAAATCAGATTTAGTACAGCCCGCACCCCACCTTCTGTACTAAATCTGATTTGTCAGTTTAATAATTTGTTCACTTTTTTCATTGTATTCCTTTGGTATGTATGGTCATGCCAATTCTCTTCCAGAGTATGATCTGAGGAAGTGGGTCTGGCCCACGAAAGCTCATCACCTAATAAACCATCTTGTTAGTCTTTAAAGTGCTACATAGTTTTTCCTTTTGTTTTAGCAAGATCAGACTAACACAGCTACCTCACTATTATTATTTTAAAATAAGTACTGCAGACGCTCCCTATTTCGAAATAAGCTATTTTGAAATAAGCTACACAATTGACGTAGCTCAATTTGCGTTGCTTATTTTGAGTTAAGCCCTGCAGTGTAGACGCACCGTTAGTGCGCAGTTGCTTCTTTCTAAAGATACTAGGTTTTCCAATGGGCTTCTTTCCTTTGTTTCTCTTCCCTGCTTTGGGTTACCTGCTCCTTCTGCGTTTTTTACATTTTGTTGTTCTGTAGAAGTGTAGCTTTTTTCTCTAGTCTGCCCTTTCTAGTTCCATTTCTCTTGACATAGCTTGCATTTCTTGTCATGCAGGCCACCAGCTGGCTTCTCCCTGGGGCTGGCCTCTTGACAGCGGAGGCCATGCATGCCACTCACTATCTTCTCCCTGGAGACAGCCTGGATGATGTGGAGGTGTGCAGGCTGACGCTGGCTTCTCATGGAAGAGGTAGTGTGGGCCATGCTGCCTCCTGCTGCCCTCCTGAGGTTATTTGTTAGTATAACTGTCCCTGCTATCACTGCCCTCCTTCTCTGTTTGATGTTAAACAATTGCATTCCACCACATCCCATTGTCCTGGCACAACCAAGTTTGATCTTCCTTTAAGTTATGATAAGAGGAAGCTACATACCAAATTTGGTGGTTCTAACTCTTGCTGTTTAGGAGGAGTTCTTGAACAAATGGACTCACAGAAGAAGCACATTTCTAAAATACATAGTAAAATACATGGTACTGTGTTACCAATCTATAAAGTTAGTTATCCTGTTTATTTCACTGTTTATGGCTAAAACATTTACATACTTGTATCATAAAGAACATTTCACTGAATTAGAGATTATTATAGTGGCCCATATATATATAGTTCTTGAACAAATGGACTCACAGAAGAAGCACATTTCTAAAATACATAGTAAAATACATGGTACTGTGTTACCAATCTATAAAGTTTGTTATCCTGTTTATTTCACTGTTTATGGCTAAAACATTTACATACTTGTATCATAAAGAACATTTCACTGAATTAGAGATTATTATAGTGGCCCAAATATATAGAGTTTTTTTTTTTTCTTTCTCTCCTTTTTTCTCCAGGGTTTCTTTAGGAGGAGTCAGCAGAACAATGCCTCTTACTCATGCCCCAGGCAGAGAAACTGTTTAATTGACAGAACCAACAGAAATCGTTGCCAACACTGCCGACTGCAGAAGTGTCTTGCCCTAGGAATGTCTAGAGATGGTAAGGAGTTAATTTCGTTGCTGCTGACTACTTAAGCCCCCCGACAGATTTCTAGAAGGAAAGAAAGAAGGAAAGCTAACTGCTCTGTAATGCATTCACCGTAAAACATAGATCTTTACCATTCCTTAAATTTAGGAGCATTTTTTTCATGGGGTGGGGGTAGGGATGAAACAACAAAATGGAGAGCAACATTACACTGAAACACAATGTTACTAAGACAAATGTGGCATTCTAATTAAAGGAGAATGGTCCCCCTCTTTGTGATGGCTTCATATGCTGGACCAGATCATAATATTTTATATTAATAAATCTAAATATTGGTGTGTCAAGACTGCCCATGCTTAAAAATGTTTGAGGACCTGAGACACTACAATAAATACAACATGCAGTTAACAAGGAAATATGCTTGCTTAGAGCAATTTTTATGCTAAAGGATCTGAAAGCACTTCACTAAAATTACATTACATTACGAAGGAATGACTTGGTGCAACCTTCAGCAATATAGCAGTGATCAAGAGAGCTACACAACAGCTTAAAACAAAAAAATGAGGACGGTTAGTGTAGCCAGTTGAAACCTCCGGGTGAGGCTGCACAGAGAAAACTATATATCTCGGTGTTGGTGGTCTTTTCTTAGTCCTTAATGAGTCATTTGTCCTATTATCCACCTTCCGAACTGTGACACAAGTCATCATGATTGGCAATTTGAGACTGAAAAATGCCTGGGACTAGTATAAGAGTTGAGTTGCAGGTCAGCATTGAACTGCAACGGCAGAGTGGAGTAAAAAAGCTTGAGCCAAGACTGCCTGCAGTATGTCAGCCCTTGCTACCGCTGCTAATTTGGATTGTTCCCAAATCTGAACTGAAGTTTTAAAATCATTAAAAAAAAATTTGGTCAGAGTTTCTAAATTAGTTTAAGGCCAGATTACAATACTCTTATTTACTATATAGGGTACGGCTATACTACATCTTATTTTTTGGAAAAAGCTACGCAAAATGCACTCCACATTTTGCGTAGATTTTTCCGATTCTTTTGTCGGAAGAGTCTTTTCTTATATTTGGTCTATCTAGAGTGGGCCAAATGTCGGGAAAAAACCCTCTTTGGAAGCCTCCTTATTCCTTGTGGAATAGAGCGTATTTGCTCTTCCGCAAAAATAAGCAGAAGAACAAACACGTTCCCTAGACACTAAACAGTTTTTCCCAGAAAAACTGTGTATTCTAGACGTACCCTTTGAGTAATACCTTACTCCAAGGTACAATGGGAAAGTTCATAGTATAAAATTCTATCCAGCCTTTATAAGGGTACCACAGTCTCACCATTAATTGAATTCAGCTTGGTTTCTAGCCTGCAGCCTACCACCTTCTTAGCCTCCCATTTCTGCCCACAGGAGATTAAAGTTGTGTTCTTTCAGCAGTTAATCGGCATATAGCCACCTCATAAAAGTGGTGTCCCCTGATTGCAGTTGAGGGCTTTAAGGTATCACAGGAACATTTATATTTGGCTGCTAGTGCTCTGTCCCTAACCTGTAAAGCAGAATTTCTCAGTCTGCTCCTGAGTCTTTGATAGTGTAGGTGGACAGCAAGCTTCGTCTCCCAGTGCAGTCTTCCTCCCACCTCTATGAGTACAACAAACACGCTCGCATAAACAGTTTTGCCTTTATTGATTTTTGTTCATTGTTACAAAGAAATCATATGTGAATTTTAACTCTCAGTCTAATAACAGACTCATTTCTATCACGCAGAGGCAGGATGCTAATTGACAGCAGCTGGAGAGTCCAATTAATGAAAATATAATGAGCATAAACAGTGGGTGTTTGTTGCTATTACTGAGGCCCTAAAATTAAAGAAAATATGTAGCTGCATTTTTCAACATAAAGTTGTTGTGGATTGGCCCTCCCTCTTGTCGTCTGGTAAGGTTAAAATAAGAGTGAGAAGTGCCTGATGGGCAGTATACATAAGTAGTGTAAAAAATGGTGTAAAGTGGTAAAGTGAGAAGTGCCTGATGGGCAGTATACATAGGTAGTGTAAATAATGATGTAAAGTGGTATAATATACAAGCCCAGAGGATGGAAAGGCAGGGACATAGCAGGGAAAGTAATCCCTAGAAGGGAATCACAAACTGATGGAGATGTTAATCTTCTTGCAGCCTGGTTTCTTTAGTGTTTTTCTTCTTGCACATCTTTCTGCTCCCTTAGCATGCAATTTGCACTCACAGTCACACAGACAGATAGGATCTGACCATTGTGAAGGGGCCTGAAAGTGGATATAAATACAAGTATAAAGTGGTCCTAGTATAAATGAGAATCAGGCCTATCTTCCACAGTCATCTATATTGTCTCTAAATATTTCTACATATTGTGCCAAGGTAATAATCAAGTGATGCATCCCACATCACCCATTTTCAGCTTCTGGCAGAGAGACGCTAAGGACACCAACCCTGCTCATGTTGACTAATAATTATTCTGTAATTACATTCCCAAAAAAGGAACATTCCAGTGTCCCTCTTTTGTGCTCTGCATTGGTATCCCTTGGGGCTCCCTTCATGATCCCCTTCTTTTCTCCCGCTAGATCTTCTCCCAATTCAGTGTCCTCATTTATTCTAAAAACTTATTTACCATCTCTAGAATGAGGTCCCCCACCACCACCGCAAAATAATTAATAGATTTTAAGGCCAGAAAGGACTGTTACTATTATCTTGACTGACCTCCCGTATAAATAACACAAGCCTTAAAATCAGTATCTCTTGTATCAAGCCTAACAACTCATGCTTGAATCAGAGCATATTATTTATGACGTCTCTAAAGATTTCAAGGGCTTGGGAATCCAGTTTGTGCTCCAATACTGACTTACTCTAAAAGTAACACTATTTCTTTCATTTGTGATCAGGAAGAATGTACATATTTTACACATGGAGATTATGTAAAATATGATTTTGTAAATCCATGAGTTTTGCCTTTATGTCAGATGTTGTATTCATTTATGCTGCTTACCTTCAAATCTGCTCTTTTCCTTCAGGTCCCAACTCTAATCTCAAATGTTGTTTAAAAAACTAGGCGTGTAAAGATCACAGCGCCTTGAAAGGCTGCAATATTGGGGCTTTGGGATTTGCTTTCATCAGAAGGCACTAATCAGTTCATGTATAGTTTAAAGCAGGGCTACTCAATTTTGGAAGCCCCGGGAGCCACAATGATACTCATAGCATATGCTGAGGGCCACAACTCAAGTTTAGTTGCATATACATGCAAATATCTATGCAAACAAATGCAAATAGCTTCCTTCACACTGACACGCATGAATACAAAGATTAAGGCAAGATTACACAACACATGGGCCCATTTATGTCAGTTCTGCTGATATTACTAAAATCCAATATTCACCCAATTTTCACCCATATGACAGCAATGACAATCCAGGAATTTAACTACTAAAATGCATATCAACAGAAGACCATTATATTGACTGTTTTTTTGTTTTGGCTCCCACCCATGGGCTGCATGTTAAGCCCCGCGTAAATCCAAACTGTGCCATGGGCCACATAAAATGGCCACAGTCTGCGTGTTGAGTAGCCCTTGTTTAAAGGTTTAGGGAAAATTGATAAACTACATAGGATACAAATCTAAAATCTGGGTTGTTGTTTAGTCAACACAAAGAGAAAAGAGAAAAACGCTAGGCCTTTTTAACATTCTCACCAGGGAAGAGTGTTGCTTGACTAATATCCTGCCTGTCAAAATGGAGCTGTGTTGGTACTTTGTACAGCCAGGAGCATAAGTCTTCAGCTTACATGACACATGTGTAGTCTGCAGCTTTGTATCATCTCTGGCAGAAAGACAGGGCAAAGGTAATGTGAAAAGTAAAAATAGAAAAAGAAAGCAACGGTTGCTGTTGTGGTTTGCTTTTCAGCTGTGAAATTTGGAAGAATGTCCAAAAAGCAGAGGGACAGCCTGTATGCTGAAGTACAGAAGCACCAGCAGCGGTTACAGGAGCAACGGCAGCAGCAGAGTGGTGAGGCAGAAGCCCTTGCCCGGGTATACAGCAGCAGCATCAGTAATGGCCTGAGCAACTTGAACAACGAAACTGGTGGCACTTACTCGAATGGGCACGTCATTGACCTGCCAAAGTCGGAGGGTTATTATAATGTCGATTCTGCCCAGCCCTCCCCAGATCAGTCTGGGTTAGACATGACTGGAATCAAACAGATAAAGCAGGAACCTATCTATGACCTCACTTCTGTACCAAACTTGTTTACCTATAGCTCTTTCAACAATGGGCAGTTAGCTCCGGGGATAACCATGGCCGAAATAGGTAAGAAAAAATTCTCACTCCTCAAGTACTTACTGCTCTGTTTGACTCTTTTGGTTGTAGTATAAATTGCAGTCCAGTTATAACGGATATGGCACACAGCCAATTCATTTAGAACGGACTAGGCCTGAAACAGGGCAAGGTGGCTGGCTGCGGTTCTTTCGTTGTTGCCTGAGTTTACCAAACTCTAAAACAATTCTTACATTTCTTAACTCAGCAATTCATGAGCTGTTTATGAAACTGGAACACCGAAAGCAACTGATGAATCAATCAAAACCAAGTGATAATTACTAATAGGGAGCTTGTTTCAAATGAGCTCATTACCAGGAGGGTTTAATGATCTTTTCTGACAGCTATACATATCCTTGTCAACACAAAGAGTCCCTAAGGTGGCTCATTCTATTGTGTTTATTAAAATGAGCACCAGATTCTGATCTCAGTTACACAGATGTGCATTTGGAGTAATTGCAATGATCTCTCAATTTAAAACTGTGTAATTGAAATGCGGATCTGGCCCCAAATCAGCTATGATTTGTATTCTCTGGATTAACTCTCTGGATATTTTGGACATATATCTTACTCAAGTTTTCCTTTAGCTGCCAGAGCAAATGGCACTACAAGCCTGCTGCCAGGTGTTTGAGTAAATAAAAGGCACGGTTCGGGTGAATAATAATATTCTGACTTGCGGTCACACTCTGGGAAGGGTTTCTAACTAAATACAGAGGTTCAGGTTCTCCCAGAACACAACCAAAAGCACTGTATTCTATTCTAAGAAGAAGAAAAATGAAGGAAGAAAAAGAGGCTGGCTTACTAATTAAGAGCTTCCCACCTCAACAAGTGATGAATGCTGAGTCGGTTGTGGTTTAGAATAAAATTAGAGGGTAACACCTCTCTAATTGGGTTTAATTAAAAAACAAGAAGAAAAGGGTGATCTATAATAGAGATTCTCAACTTCTTTCTTTCTGAACCTCCTCCACCAATGCTCTATAAAAACTCCGGTGTACAGCAGGGGTTGGGTAGAGCTTGGGGTCCAGCCACTGGGCAGCTGAGAAATTTTAAGCATAGGAGTACTTTGACTTCTATTTAGGGGTGCGGGCAGGGCTGGGTGGTACTTAAGCTGGCTCTGTACAGTGGGGCCCCGGGAGGGAGTGCCATCTACCCCCCAACTTTGCTCAGCAGGGTACCCGAACAGTTGGGTACCGAACTGTTCAGCCTTGCAGCCCCCTTCACCTGAGGGTCACTGCTTACCAAGGCTGTGCTGCTTGGGAGCTGGATCCCACACCTGGGCAACTCATACTGGCTTCTCCAGCAGTCAAAGGCAGCTGGGAACTCAAGAACAGCTGCAATGCTGGGCACTGGCAACAACAGGAGATGGGGGATCTCCGGGCCTGCTCACTCCATGGCACCAGGCAGAGCAGCAGCTGTCCCCCACTTCCTATATCTAGCTTCCTGCCTTCAATTAGGCCAAGGGTGTGGCCTCTGGGAAGCTGGGGGAAAGAAGGAGGTGAGTAGAGGGTGTGAAATTGGCCCTGGGCCTGCTCTTGGTAAGTCACTGCAGTTTGGGGGGTAGAAATGCCTTCCCTGCCCCCCATCTCTGCCTTTGGACTTAGGCCTTTAGCCTCGCAGGGACTGCCAGGGTATGTCTAGACTATATGGCTCCGTTGATGGAGCCATGTAGATGAGTTTACTAGACATAGGAAAATGAAGCAGCGATTTAAATAATCACTGCTTCATTTACATCAAAATGGCCACCGTGCTGTGCCGATCAGCTGTTTGGTGGCTCAGCAGGGCAAGTCTAGACGCTCCGCGGTTGAAAACGGAAGCTTTTGTCGACCGCTCTGTTATGCCTCGTGAAATGAGGTTTACCGGAGCGATTGACAAAGGCTTCCGTTGTTGTCTCTGCTCCCAGCTTCAGCCCCACTGAGGGCATGTCGACACTTCAGAGTTACTTCGAAAAAGCTCCCATTATTTTGAAATAACAAGGCGAGCATCCACACAGCAAGCCCGTTATTTCAAAATAATAACCTCTGCATTTACAAGGAATAATGCCTATTTTGAAATAGGATTAGTGTGGACACATATATGGGTATGTCTACACTTGCTCCCTAGTTCGAACTAGGGATGCAAATGTAGGAGACCGAAATTGCTAATGAAGCGGGGATTTAAATATCCAGCGCTTCATTAGCATGATCTTGCCGGTGCGTTACTCCACTCAACTGCTGTTTCGAAAGTGAAAGTGCGCCCCAGGACGCATTAGTTCGAACCAAATCCCTTGGTTCGAACTAATGTTACTCCTCATTTTTTTAAATAACTACTCCTCCAGAGTCATTCAAAGTAATTAATCTCCAGTGCTTCCTGTCTCAGACTAATTTCGAGGCTTCCCTATAGTGTGGATGTGCTATTTTGAAATAGTTATTTTGGGAGTTATTATTTCAAGAACTTATTTCTAAATAACCTTGTAGTGTAGACATACCCTGAGTTGTCACGTGCCTTTTCCTTTTCCTAAATTTCCCTCACACATTGAGGGTAACTTTAGCTTCCTGGGGATGGGAAAAGGTTGAGGAGCCTGAGGGTAATCAGAGGAGAATGGTACTGAGCACACAAAGAATTCTTACTCTTGCCCCATAGTGAAATTTGAGACCATTTGATGGTTGAGCAGCCTGATACCAGCTCCAAATTTGATAAGAGAAAGTAGGACCTAGCAAAGGTTTGGGGCCACAACCACAAAGGGATTTAGGCACTTAACTGTTATTTGGATGCCTAAATCCATAATTGAGATCTTCAACACCTCTGCTCAGTTGCCTTCTAACCCTCTAGATACCTAAATTCTCTGAAGTCTCCAGTGTATCTTCATTTCTGCCAGTGGACATTCACACGGCCTAAATCTTGATGGTACCTCAGTCCCAGCAGAATCCTTAAACTAAGCAGTCCCCTACCGATTTCACATATGGAGGACAATCTGTGGCATTCTCAAAGACCACTGTAAAGCATGCCTACCAGATTAGGCTCTACATAAAAGAATAAGAAAAAGGTGAGTACTCTATGTGGCAGGTTTGTGACTAAAAGCTTCAGAGGGTTAGCTGAGTTAGCCTGTAACAGGAAAAACTTAAATAACAACAAATAGTCTAGCAGCACCTTAAAGACTAACAAAACATGTAGATGGTATCATGAGCTTTCGTGGGCAAAACCCACTTCTTCAAATGACTGGACTTCACATGCTGAAATACAACTGAGCCAACCTCCCTGCCTTCATGGGCACCCCTC